CCCGCCCCCGCCCCCGGGAGCGCGCCCCTGGGCTCCTCACTCCGCGCCCGCCGCCCCTTCTGGAGCACGCCGCGGGTCAGTCCACCCCCGCCTGAGACCCTCGGCTCCCGCTCCGCCGCTGCTCTCGCTTCCCCACTCCCGAAGGCTGCGGCTTTGCGCCTCTGCTCTCCATCAAAATAGCGCCCCGTACGACGAGAATTGATCACCCGTGTGTCTCTAGCCTCCTCCCCGGGCCCGCCCACTCCAGAAGAAGGCGATTATCCGCGTCTCCTCAGCTCGTTGCTCCTACGGGCTTTGCTCCTTAGGCCGAGATTTTTTTTGAAGGACCGAAATTTCTGCCCATTTGTCGAATCCTTGTCCACCCCCAGCCCCATCCATTCAATCTCTTCACACGTGTCCGCTTGGAAAGGAGGTTTTCGTTCGTCCTCCTAAGCATCACCTACCCCTCTTCTTCCTCTCCCCTTCTCTCCTCTTCCCCTCTCTCTTCTCAGCTACCTTTATTCCCTGGCACTTCATTTTTTTGTTGTTTCCGACAAGACCTTAGGTAACCTTAAGTGAGGTGACATACTTGTTTCTAAAAAGGGCTGCCTGCCTCCCCAGGAAAACTTAGTTTCTCTTGCACCAAACTACCCTCCTTTGAATTGTTCTCTGCTTCAGCTTACTGTAATTATCCTTCATTTTGTCCTACTGCCCCAGTACGTATCATTCTTGGAGGACTAATCTTTTCTCATGCAGGATTCCTGTACAGTAGGTGTGCAGTGTGTGTGTTCGCATACTCTCGTGTGATTAGACAGTTGAGGGACTCTCCTGTTCCTACTGTCTTCAAGATGGCAATATAATATTTTCATTGTTCTCTGAGACCTTTTTATTGTTTTCTTGAGCTTTCATACAAATTCTGAAGTCAAGTTTGGTAAAATGTCACATATCAAGTAGGAGGCCAAATTGAGGGATTTTTTTCATGGACTTAACACACCATGTATTTTCTTAGTTTGAATATGTTGCTGCTTATCTTTCAAGATGATTTCTCCCTTTCTTCTATGCTTAAATGACTTCTCTGATTGAGACATCTTTCTTGGTCTGTTTTTTCTGTCTTTTCCTTATCTGTACCTGGCTGTAGGTCGGATGGAGTCTAATGACACACTGGAAGCTGTAACTGATTGCTTTTGCTTACATCTGCCACCTCTGTGTATGGGCAAGGTTCTCTTTTTCTTAATGAGTCTATAAATGAGGTGGATATAAAACAGCTACTGAGAAACTCCTGTGTGTTTCTTTAGGTCCTGGTTAGGTTTAAGGGCTTAGAACATGCTGCCTTTGGGAGAGGGTCAGATGGGGATAAAGTAGCTTTTACTAAGTGTGTTTCAAACCACAACATAAGGACAAAATCCCTTTAACTCCGGGTTGAACCCTACCCATCTCACTAAGTAGTCATAGCATCTGGACTCAGGAACTGTTTTTTTTCTTTTTTAATACTATAAAATTATTCTGATATCTGAACCAGCATTAAATAAAGCATAGACTTTGCAAAGGAGAAGGAAAAATGATGGAAAACACATTTCTTTTGGACAGATCTTAAGGCCAGAGAATGGCAGGTGAACAGAAACCCTCAAGTAACCTCCTGGAACAGTTTATTTTACTAGCCAAAGGTACTAGTGGCTCAGCTCTCACTGCTCTCATAAACCAAGTCTTGGAGGCTCCTGGAGTATATGTCTTTGGAGAACTGCTGGAGCTGGCCAATGTGCAGGAGGTAAGAACAATTTGTCTATCTTCTTTATTTTAAGCCTTCCTTTGAGTCTCTAGGTTTCCAAGGAATTTCAGTTCCAAAGCATTGGGGACCTGTGAGGTACCCTGTTGAGGGAGGGATGGGAATTGGTGGGACAGGAGAAGAAGAGAGCAAGGATGATGTCCTGGACTCCTTCTAGTCAGCAATTTTGTTTGAATTTGAGGTAAAGTTAGATTGGGTTGCTGATAATTTGAAAGATCGGGAAAAAACCCAGGTGAACCTAATAAGTTAGAAGCATAGAGTATAGACATGGCCTAATGTTTAACAGGGGTAATTTCAGGCATTCTTAGGGACAAAAGCCTCCAGTGCAAATATAGACAAGGAAGACTGGTCAGGTACATAATGGCAGAGAGTGATTGCTGTTGAACTTGACACAGGCATGAATAAGGAACGTACTGCTCCTGTGGAGAAGTGCAGTGTTGTGTAGGTGTGTAAAGTGGATATGTAACAAGGATATGACTGTTACACGCTGGGAAGTGGTCCTTTTTGCTTTGCTTCTTTGTTTGATTGTAGTTATTAAAACCTTGGGTATCCAGTTTTGGCTATTGTGCCTTAAAAATGAGATGACCCATTGAGGAATGACCAAGTGGAATAAAGAGATGTAAAGCAGCCTATACTTTTCAACCTCTACTTCCCACTTTGGGTACTTTTATATAGTTGCCCCTCAGTATCCATGAGGGATTGGTTCCAGGGTCCCCCTCTGATGCTCAAGTCTCTTATATAAAATAGCATAGTGTTTGCATATATGGCAGGGTATGCCTACACATCACTTCATTCGCATGGATTCAGCATAGTGCTTGGTGCATGGCTAACTCAAGGCTTGCTTATTGGAACTTCCTGGGATTTTCCCCCCTAAATAGTTTTGATTCATGGTTAGTTGAATCAGTGTGAAGCCTGTGGATATAGAGAATGACGGTATTTACTTATTGATTGATACTTTTATATTGATTGAGATAGATAGAAGTCTGGTGGCATCTTTATTACTTTGGGGGTTGTGTTCAGGTTCTCTTGGTGGGGTGGGCCATCTTCCTTTTCACCACCACAGCTTCTTTCTGGCTGCCAGGATGGTGCTGTCTCTACAGATGGCTTCTATCCACAAACCTGGGCAGTTCTTGTAGATCATGTGCATGATGCCACTGCGGGTGGCCTGGGCGTTCTTGCTGATGGTGGTTTACACTAGGAGGTAGTTGGCTTTTTTTGGCCGGTTCTTCACTTCACGACCACTAGGACACCTTTGCTGTTGGCTGCTGGCTCCACGCCCACAGCTTTGTGGTGAATCAGCTGGTTGTAGGAGTTGCAGGCCTTCAGATAACAGGACTGGCTGCTGTACATCTGCTTATTCCTCTTGATCAGGAAATTGGAGCAGTTTCCCACGACCATCCATTGCAGACTCGTGGACATGGTGTCATCTCTTCTCCCTGAAACAGCCAGAGACCAAAAGAGCTGCTTTTATTTTTGAATTGTGAATTTTTATGTATCAGTCTTGTTTAGACTGTATGCTCTGTTGTGCTCACCATTGTTTCCTTACAACTTAATATGTAGACTGACACACAGTGGCTTTCAGTACAAATTTAGTATCTCAGAGATGGAAAGGGAATGTTCTGAGAAAAATTGAGGAGAACTGGGCTCTTTTTAAAAAAGTCTTCTGTGTTCTACCTGTTCATCATTCCCTTCCTTCTAACCCCTGGCAACCATTGCCCTTTTTACTATCTTTGTAGTTTTGACTTTTCCATTATGTTATAGATGGAATCATATAGCCTGTAGCTTTTTCAGATTGACTTCTTTCACTTAGTAATATGCATTTAAATTTCCTCTATGTCTTTTCATGGCTTGATAGCTAATCATTTAAACAGAAGAGATGACTAGAGGGTAATAAGTTCCTTCAGGTTCATGGGAAGCATGAATGAATATGCCAACTGGTTGTTTTGTAATTATGAAAGATTGGCTAAGAGGAGATAGATGAAAATTAAAACTGGAAAGACCCATTGACTTGGGCCCGTGGGAGAAGTTTTAGAGCATCTCCTCTAGAGAAAATAGGCTAGTTTTGTCATCATCTGTTTGAGAAGTGGGGCCTAGATTTGGTGGTTTCTTCCACCTCTGATCAGGACCTCAGGAGGTTATTAATAGACCTGAAAAGGTAGACTTGGGTATTAGGATGCCTGCTCTAATTGGGGTGCTTAGCAAACCACCTTTATCTCCCCATAGTCTGTTTTTCCCGTATGTAAGCTGGGAATAAGCTAGTTGCCTTTCGGTGGTCTGAAGTTATGGACGTAGTTCTTGGAACCTTTTTTTAAAAGATGGTTAAAATTAAGTAGCATTTCATTGGTGTCCACAGAATAACTTGGGGTTTCCTGTTTAGACTTTACTGAGTTTGGTAAATTGGAGGAGTAACGGGTCCATATTTTTGAGTAAAAGAAACACCCAGTCAAGGTAGTTGACAGAAGAGCAGAACAGTTCAGGCAGAACAGTGTCTCTTTCTTTTTCCTCCTACAGATAGCTCTTTGACCCTGGCATTAGTGAGGAATAAATAATTGCAATGAAAATCTTTATTTGTGGTCGCCTGATATCCTGGCTTCCTGTCCCAGCCTGGCTCTTCTGTCTCCCCTTATGCTGTGCTTACCTCTCCCAGTGCCACAGTCCACATAGAGTCCTGAAACTTGGAACTAACCTTACACTTTGTCCCGTTTGGATTAGTGGCTTGTGCTGTGCCTGACAAGCTGGTGTGTGGACAAAGCTGCTCCAGTGCTCATTTTAATGGAAAGGGAATCTTGAGAAAACTTGAACTGCTTCCAGTACTCACTGCCTTGTGTGTATGTGGAAGCAAAAGCAGTTCCTTGGGTGTGCTGTATGAAATGTGAAACACGTATTCCCTAGAGAGAAAAGTTAAATTGGGGGCTTTAATAATCTTTCTTACTTTTTTCCAAAGAATGCAGGAGTTGGAAGGGATCAGCTAATAAAAAAGTACAGAGTTGTGATGCATGGTCGCCCGCCCTCTGCTTGAGCACTGCAGTGACTGGTAGACAGCTGGGCCCATGAACTGTTTCTTTTCCTCCTCAGCTTGCAGAAGGAGCTAACGCTGCATATTTTCAGTTGCTGAACCTGTTCGCCTATGGAACATATCCAGATTATATAGGTGAGCTGGTTAAGATCCTCCAAAGACTGTTCTTAATTATTTCGCTCTGTTTAGATGTGTTGCCTCCAGGAAGATCACTGAGGTTTGGGGTGTAAAAGCATGGGGTGGGAACTTCTTAGCCTGGCTGTTATCCATTTTACTGGGCTCTGTGGGTGATCTTACACGAGGACTCTCCCTTCTTACCTTTTCTTTCCCAGTGTGTAAAACGGGGACTATGTTTATGTTCATCAGTAAATATAGCCCTTGTTTATGTTCCAGATGAGATTCTTGAGGACTGGAGTTTGTAGAACACTTGGAGTGTTGTGAAATGTCAGAATACCCACTTGTATTTAAGCATTTTAAATATGATCAAAATAATATCACTATACTGTGTTGAAGAAAATTTGGAAAATAGGGGGGAAAAGTCACTCATAGTTATACCAGTGTTACCCTGCTGTTAGCATTATGGTACACATTTTTCCCCCTCTGCTTGGGCTGTCTGTTATGTAGGTATAATTAAATTATATACATAATTTTATATTGTGCTTTTTTTCACATATGTCATAGGCATTTATTTGTGTTTTGAGTCTGCATAGTCATTTTTAGTATTTCATTACCTAATTCTCCACAATCTACTTAGCCCATTCTCTTCTGTAGGTCATTTGAGTCATTTAAAATTAGAACCATAAATATGAGGAATGAGGTGCATGTGGCAACCTGTCCAGTCTGTGTCCAAATGCTAACTTACCTTCCACCCAGGCCATTTTGCCTGGCTTCCCTGGTTTATTTTAGTGGCATGACAAAAACCTGGTAGTTTATTTTAGTGGTGTGACTCAGTACCTCCCCTACTATACTCCTGACTTCCCCTCTTTCTCACTGTCTTTCTTGCTGGTCACTTATGCCTATTCTTTGCTGCTGTCAGACTGGACAGGTTGCCACTTGCCAGTTTTTTCTGACCTTCACTTTGTTCCAGTTGAGTGTGTTTTCTGTTTCTGTTCTTACTAAAGAAGCAGCATTGCACGGACTCTGGAACCAGACTGCCTGCATTGTATTCTAGCTCCACTTCCACTGGTAGTGTCTTTTGGCAAATGAAATAATCTTCTGTACCTCAGTTTCCTTCTCTGTAATAATCCAGGTCCACAGTCCTTGACCTGCACTGCTTCGGCTAGATGTTTCAGAATTTAGAATTTGGGGGAATTTAAAAAGGTAATACGCACATGCCTTTTTATGTAACACCCCTGAGGGGTGTGGGCAGCACCTGTAGTCAAACACAATCATAATTGTTTTTTAGCTCTCACCCAAGGATATGTTTTTTATTGATTTTTAGAGAGAGAGGAAGGGATAGAGAGAGAGACAGACAGACATCAGTATGAGAGAAACATTGACTGCCTCCTATACGTGCCCCGACTGGGGATCGAACCTGCAAGCTAGGTATGTGCCCTGAGCAGAAATAATGCCGCAGCCTTTTGCTGTACAGGATGACACTCCAGCCACCTGAGCCGCCTGGCCAGGGCCACAATCATAATTTTGTAGCAAACCAAGTGAATATTCACAAGTAGGATAAAAAAGCCCACCTTAAATCAGGCCAGAAATCGCTACCAGATGAATTTTAGCACCATGCTCAAGGAAAAAGAAATAGTTTTGGATTCACCTTTTTGGAATCCAGGATTATGGATAAGGAATTGAAAGCATTTAGAATCTGTCTTGTAGGGTTTTTGTGAGGACTGGATGTGTGTATGTGCATCTGGATCTGTGTGTGCTTCTACACTGAGTAAAACTTGCCTGTATGTTACCTGTGGCTGCCGCCATGGCTCTCGTTAGCATTGTTGCTATTACTGGAATTTTGCCTGTCCTTCAAGGCTTATCTCAAACTCTATTTCTTTTTTCTCCTGTACTGTACCTCCCCAATGTGATTGGGCTCACTTGCTCTTTGTCTTTCTCTCGCCCCTTTCCCCCTCTTTCCCTAGCTCTCTCTCTCTCTCCCTTCCTCCCTTCTTCCTCTCTTCCTCACCCTTTTGTTCTCTTCTGGTAGTTTGTACCTTTCTTCTGTTAGTTCTGCCTTGCATTTGTAGCTGTTGAAACATCCGATTGTAACACTGAGGACAAGTCCAAGGCCATTGAGTCACATTACTCCAGGTGGTTGGTGCCCCTGGAGGTGTGTATGCAGCAGTCTTGACAAGGCCCATCCTTTCTCCTCAATGCCCCCAAATCATTTAAGATGGTGCCTTGCACGTAACAGATGTTCAGTGAAGACGTGTTGAACTTGATTGAATGTCACAAAGGGCACAGATAGTATTATTCCATTAAGATAATGGTCATCACTTTGTGCATTCATGCCTGGGTTTCAGGAGATGAGGCTCCTTGTGTGTAGAGACAGAGTCTTGTCTTCTTTGGAAGCACATGGTCTTCCAGAGATGACAGGAGGTGCTCATGGGAAGTTTGCCTAATGAGTAAGTGCAGAGTCATGACTGATTTAGTAGTAGATTTGGTGTGGGGAAGTGGTGTGCTTATTCCATAAAAAAATCCTAATTTTATTTTATGTCTTGATTTTTGTGGTGGGTGGGACTGAGTAGCCAACAAGAAGAGCCTCCCAGAACTGAGCACGGCTCAGCAGAACAAGCTGAAGCACCTTACCATCGTGAGCTTGGCGTCGAGAATGAAGGTACAGTCCTGGGCCCTTTCCTGTCTCACCCTGTTTCCTTTCCCAGCTGCACACGGTACAGTCATAGCATAAATGCATAAAATTTACTTGGCAAAGGACAAAAGAGAAAAAGATAATTAAAATAGTGTTGATAATTACCCTCCCATTTAGGAAAAATATACCCAGGAGCGATTGTAAATCAGCAGGTCTCAGTTCTGGCATGCCATGGCGCCTTGAGTAGTGTGAGCATTTGCCATCCTAGAGGGAGACTGCTGTCTAAAGATAGGTATTTTCAAACAATAAGGCATCTCAAGGCAAGTTAACACTTCATTTCCTGCTCCCTGTGTAGCGAACTGTGCTAATGCTGGAAGGAAAACTTGTTATGTTGGACTTACTGAGAAGTAGATTTTTAATATGCCACCTTCTTCTGGGGATTTTCGAAATTAATTGTACTAATTGGGATTTTTGCCTTACATGCTCACTTTAGACCTGAACCTTCTGTAAGATGTCACACTCCACTGTATCTGAGTTCTCTGCCCCACTCACTTTAGAAGCAGCCTGGCAACCAGCTGCTCATAGTCATTAACAAAGAAGATCCGGATTTGTTTAGTTTAAAGTTGATTTGGCTCTTGCCCAATCCCAGCCTGAGGGTCTAAGTGTTTGTGGGGCTCTGTCTTTGAAAGAGTTGCTTTTTGTGTTTGTCCCCTGTGATGTAGCTTGAGGGGTATATGTTTGTTCCTGCATTGCCGTTTCAGTTGCTGAAGTCAGTACCAACCACAGACTTCTGATTCTTAGCCTGACATCCCAGATGGGAGGGAGGCCTATTTTGTTATGAAATGATGACCTGACTTTTTTTTTTGTCCTAATCATGGACTTCTTAAGTGTAGCAGAGTGTACGAGTGACTTTTTCCTTCATTTTTCCAACTACCCATTGTGAGCCCACCTGCCACCCCTGGATTTCAGACCTTTAGTCATAGAAAACCCTTCTAGGTATGTTTACTGTTACCCTCTTCTCTGTATGCATTTCCCTGTCGGTTTCTGAAAATTTGATCACTGTGTTAATTTCCAAACTAAAAATAATGTGTATCAGGATTTGCAGGAAACTGGATGTTTAGATATCCAGTTGTCTTAGAGTCATGCAGAATTTTGGTACAGCCCAAATGACTATTGTTGGGAGTTGACATTGGTTGCAAGAGTTTGAGAAAAGAACTGTAAACTTGGGGGTGACTCTGAGTTGGCTGTACTGCTGGCCACTGGTAGTGGGTGTGTTAGCTTGCATGTGTGTTTGCTTGTGCTCTGCCGGTAAGCCCCCATTTTTCCTCGCTAGCGTTTGAGAGTGTTTGGAATTTTGTGACGAGCTGGCATTTTATGCAAAGTCTGTAAGCTTCCAGAAGGTGGCAGAGTGGCATATACTGAGTATTTCCCTTTTTCTTTGGAAAGAGTCTTTGGGATCTCAAAGAGTTTGCTTCAGAGCATAAAAGTTGAAGGCGGGGCAAAGTCCAGGAGGCAGAGAATCTTGGAGAATGCTTTGCTAGATGCTATAGGTCTTGTTTGGATCCCACAGGTTTTACAACTCATTTATCCATCTCTTGTTGCCATAGATGTTAATAATTATCACTACAATAATTATCACTACGCTGCATTTCCCAAAGTCCTGAGGCAGCCTTTGGCTGTGTCAGCAATACCTGCATTTCTTTAATACTTGTCAGTTGTTTTTGTAAATATCACATGGCCTTATCTGCAGTGTATCCCCTACTCCGTGCTGCTGAAGGACCTGGAGATGCGGAATCTCCGGGAACTGGAAGACCTCATCATCGAGGCTGTCTACACTGACATCATCCAGGGCAAGCTGGACCAGCGAAACCAGCTTCTGGAAGTAGACTTCTGCATTGGCCGTGACATCCGAAAGAAGGACATCAATAATATTGTCAAGACCTTGCAAGAGTGGTGAGGCTGAATGATGGAGGGGTTCCCTTCTTTTTAGGGAGGGGGATAGCTAGCCTTTGCCTGGGGAAATATGATCTCCAGGTATTAGCTGGGGCTGCCTGGGAGCTAGGACCTTGGGACAGTAAGCCAGAGAGTGAAGGGTTACATTTGTGACTATACCTGTGTGGCAACAGGAATCATTTCAGGCCTCTTAGTGCCTTGGTTGTAAAATAGTCCTTGTCCTAGTGCAGGTGGGGACTATTTAATGGTGGGCTGTAAAATGCCCAGGATTGGCAGATGGAGCCTCTGAAGCCTAGTTATGTGACACGGACCCTGTGCTTTGCCTCAGAGTTTGATGAAGCTCAGGAAGTTAGTGTTGGTAAGAGTCTTTGGCTAATAAAACCCGTGTTCAGTGTCAGTAACATTGGGCTAGTGTTTATAAAACTTTGTGAGGGATAGTGAAGACAAGGAATGGGCTATTCTAAGTTGGAACACAGACTCTATATTAATATAACTATATTCTGGTATATAAAAAAAGAAGCAGGATACTTGCATGTACTCTATTTTAATAGAATTGGTTGTTTGCAAGAGCCGTTCTGGGTTCTACAAGGGTTTGTTACAAAGTTATTTAAATGATTTGGGGCTTATAAAGCCAGATGGGCTTAGTCAGAAATGAGGCTTTAGCTGAGTTTTGAAGGAGGGCCAGGGTTAGAGAGAGGTTCGCGGTGAGGGGAGTATGTTCCTGGACTGGCTCATGGCATTTTGGAGGTCAGGAAGCAGAGTAGGTGAGCTTTATGCAGAGTGGAAAGGAAATTATTTTTTATAAAATAGATGAAATCTCTGGCTTATCCCCAAGAGGAATATATCCAGAGATGAGTGGCCCAGCTTTGACTCCCTGAGTCTAATGTCCCCCCTCCCCCTTAAGCTACTGTTGGACCCCAGGGCATCTGATGCCCACCTCTCACCCCAAGTTCTAGCCCAGCTGTGACCCCAACCAAACACCTTCCCTTTACAACCTCTGACCAAAAAAGGAGCTTTCGAAAGATGTACAACTATTAAAGCAGAATAAGTGAGAAATAAACTTAGGAAATATCCCTAACATGAAAATGGTCTGGTGTACAAAGTCTAGCTTTCCAACCCCTGCACTTGGCTGTCTTAAGCCGCACTTGAGATGCTGGACAGTTTTCACGTCCATGGTCTGGCTTCCTATGTTTTAAGCCCCCAGCATGTGGAAACCCAGAGGTGCTGTCCTAACCCCTGTCCCAGGACGTTTACTAGTACAGGTTCTTAAAGCTTGTGTTTAGGTGTAGGAGTTCAATTTGAAACAAAATTGGGATGTAGAATGGTACCACAAATAGGGCAAGCTGTTCAAAGCTATTGACTTTTTTTTTTTTTAAAATATGTCTATTGATTTCAGAGAGAGGAAGGGAGAGGAAGAGAGAGAGAGAAACATCGATGATGAGAGAGTCATTAATCGGCTGCCTCCTGCACCCCCCCTGACTGGGAATCAAACCGCAATCTCCTGGATCCTAGGTCGACGCTCAACCACTGAGCCACGCCCGGGCGGGTAAAGCTATTGACTCTTAAGTGAAGGGTATGTGGGTATTCATTGTACTATTTCAACATTTTTTAGGTTTAAAATTTTCAAAATAAAAAGTAGGGAAAAGAAAATGAGGGGGATCATAGTCAGGAAGTAATTTAAACTTCTGAGACAATCTTCAAAATAGGAGCTTTGACCTAGGATCCAGGAGATCGTGGTTTGATTCCCGGTCAGGGCACATGCCTGGGTTGCGGGCTTGATTGCCAGTCGGGGTGTGTAGGAGGCAGCCGATCAATGACTTTCTCATCATTGATGTTTCTCTCTCTCTCTCCCTCTTCCTTCCTCTCTCTGAAATCAATAAAGTTATATTTTTAAAAAAAGAAAAGTGTAAAGTGTCTCCTAATTCCTTTTATCTCACAATGTGTAAAACTTTCCCATTGGACACAAAGCTTGGAGATTAAAGCTGTACTCTAAAAAATTACCCCACATCCTCCATGTTTGTCTCCGCGTGTCCTGTGTAATGTGCCCTATGTTTAGTAACGCTTGCCTTTTGGAGGGAGTGCAGAGGTAAGAGCCCTGGCAGAGGGGGTGCTACAGAAAGACCCTGTAAGGAGATGGGGAGGGAGATTGGAGCCTGGAGGCAAGTGCCCAGGCCTCTCTGTGGCTCAGGATTGGTTCTTTCCTTTGCAGGTGTGATGGCTGTGAAGCAGTCCTGCTAGGCATCGAGCAGCAAGTACTGAGAGCCAACCAGTACAAGGAGAACCACAGCCGAACTCAGCAGCAGGTGGAGGCAGAGGTAAGGAGGGGACCTTGTTCCCCTGCTCCAGGGGATTGCTATTCCTTTGTCTTGTGAGTCTTGTTGATGAAATAAGCAGTTATCAACAAACAGGCGCTGGCTGGGTGCTGGGGTGGAGGTGAGTGTGACAGGATCTCTGTTCTTGGTGCTCTCCATCTCTTTTCTGCTTGCTGATTGGCAGAGTGTGAGCAGGCTTGGAAAGCAGAGAGTGTTTTACATTCCTCACTACACATGCATGAAAGAAACGAATTTGGGGATGTACCTAAAAGGTGGATAGAAGGAGGCACCAGTCTAAGCTCTTCTTAGTTTTGCTCTGTGGTGTTGAATTTGCTTTGGACAGCACTGTGAGGCAGATCTGATCAGCCACTTGAATTAATAAATGAAGTCAGTGGGGTGCCTGAAGTTGAGCCGCTAAATAAATTACACAAAGTAGATTTTAGCTCTCTACAGCCAGGTTGTGATTATAGCAAGAAATATATCCAGGGAAAACTTTCACGTATCTTTTTTTTTAACTTATGGTGGAAACAACGGCTGTTTTGAAGATTGGACTATAAGAACAGGAAAATTCAAATTCAGAGATCAACATCGTTTCATTTTTTGGAAAAATAGCAAAGGACTATGCAAAAGTTTCCCATGAAAGGGTGAAAAAGACGGATAGAAGGATGGTGGTTGTCAGGTGCGGTGGAGGGAGGGGTGCGGTTGGGCAGGGGCACCTGGCACTTGGGGCACATGGGGCTTCGGGGCCGAGTACTGCTGTCCTTGAGCTGTGTGGTAGGGGCAGTGCCATTTTACCCTTCTCTAAACTACATGCATGTTGTAACCTTTCAAAGTGCATTATGTATTTCATACTAGAAAAAGAAGAAAGGGAAAAAAATGGGTGGATGAAATGCAAGTGAAGATAGAAGTGTGTGATTGTGGTTTTAGTGACACCCGCTTGTTCAGGACACTTTTAGCCTCTCAGTGGCATTTGTTTTTGTGCCGGTAGCCTGGAATCTGTGGTGTGAGCTCAGAATTCGTTTGGAGCCCTTAAGATCCAAATGTTAGCATTGGGCCCTGCTGGTGTGGCTCGGTTGGTTGGAGCATTGTCCTGTGCACTAAGAGGTGGCAGGGTTAATTCCCAGTCAGGGCACATACCCAGGTCCAGGTTCAGTCCCTGGTTGGGTGTGTGTGGGAGGCAACTGATCGATGTTTCTCTCCCACACCGGTGTTTCTCTCTCTTTCTCTATTCTTCTGTCTCAAAATCAATTAAAAAAGAAAAAGAATATTTACTTAAAGTTAGCATTGGAAGTCCTTTTCTAGTGTGATAGGGCTTGAAGTGTTAATGGTATTTAATGAGTTTTATAAATCTAGTGTCCAGAAGTGTGGTAGAGTGGGGCCCAGAATTATAACTAAGGAGCATAGTAAGTAGATGTGCCTTTTGAGGGGGGATTTGTGAAATTTGAAGATTTCCCCATCTCTGCTCTTTGTATCCTTGAAAATAAAGCCTGTATCTTTTTTGTCTTTGTAAGATCAGCTCCTTGTCCCATGCCTAACCCATAGTAGTTGCTCACATATTTATTGAACTGAGTATTTCTGGCACAACCTATACGTGTGTGTATCAGTGGATTACTAAACTCTGCTTTTCATGAACTAGAGTGAATTTGTTTTGGACACACACACTCTTCTATGTACTATACATACTTATTCTGTGGCTGTTTAATCCATCATTCATTTTTACCCTACTTTTAGCCAAGGAAATATGAACTGCATTTAATTTAGCTTAGCCAAAGACAAATACAACTGTGAAATAAGCCTGCTGCTTCTCTGATAAGATGTATCACCTTGAATATTGTGGCCTCTTCCCTGACCTGGGATTGATGTCTGAGTAAAGGAGGAAGGACTAATCACTCTGTCCTCTCCACTGATTCTAACCCGTAAATCAAACCCTGGAAACATGAGGTTTGGAGGGGAAACGTGCCCACCTGACTGGAGTAGCCTGTGTGAAACAAACTGTCTTTAACTTGGCTGGAAGGTTGGAAGTCTGATCGCTGTTGGCCCCGCCGTGGTGCCTGGACTGTTTCCGATTGTGTGTTAGGTGGTGGGCTTGGATTGTGGTGGTTAGCCAAGAAGAAGGAATGATGCTAGATTTAGAATTTCGACTGGTTTAAGTTTATCCATGATGAATGGCATCTGATGAAAGGAGGTAGGTGTGAGCAGAGGTACTTTAGAAAGTGGGCTAATGTTGAGGCACGACCAATACTTAGACAGTAGTGTGGACTCTTTAAAGTAGGATTATTTTTTTAAAGAAGAGCCAGGATGCATGGATTTGTGATCAGTGGCTCACTGATGCAAAACGTGACTCTGGAGACCCCTGCTGACAGAGCCTGATGCTGCCACCAGGTGGCAGTAAGGATTGGATTTACTTAGACATTTGAGGAAAAGGCTACAGACCACCTTCAATACCAGTGAAAACAATCTACTGACTTAATCTTCTAGAAAATCTGGAGCAGGCCAGTATGAGAAGAGAGGGAGCGTGGTCAAAGCTTAGAGTCTTGTCAGCTTTTGGGGAAACTTTAAAACAAGTTCACTCAGGCAGTGCATCCCAGGTACTGAAAGTATGGGCATAAATCAAGTTTTCTTTCATTGTCTTAATGTATATTTTAAGTTGCAGTATCTTTTAACACATTGGATATCAGATGTAACTGACGTGCAAAGAAATAAATTTGTCCTGCTGTGAGTTCTTGTTAAGATCTTAATTAATTTTCTTTAGAATACTTAGAAAGCATCAATGGGTCATTGGGGAGAAAAAGAGACATCTGTAATATTTTCAACAAAAATAAAATTAAATTAAATTAAAAAAAAGAAAGCATCAAACTGGAGAAGCCTTGGAATGTTTTTATAAACATTTATTTTATAAAGCAATGATAACTGAGAAATCACACTTCTTAATCTCTCCTTTAAGAGCATCAAAATATGCCTTGAAATAAGACAAACAAACCCATTTTTTTTTTTTTTTAATATATCTTTATTGACTTCAGAGAGAGGAAGGGAGAGGGAGAGAGAGAGATAGAAACATCAATGATGAGAGAGTCATCGATTGGCTGCAGCCCGCAACCTGGGCATGTGCCCTTACCGGGAACCAAACCCCGATCTCCTGGATCCTAGGTCCACGCTCAACTGCTGAGCCACACCCGGCTGGGCCAAACCCATCTCTTTTATAAGAGAAAGAGTGGCAAGCCATCCACTTGCTCCCGGTTTTTCACTGTCTTATCAAGTCACTCTGCTGAACAAGATATAACCTGGCCTGTGTGGCTTGGTTGAGTGTCATCCTGTGCACTGAAAGGTTGCCGGTTCGATTCCCTGTCAGGGCACATACCCGGGTTGTGGGCGTGATCCCTGGTAGGGGGTGTGCAGGAGGCAGCTGATCAGTGTTTCTCTCCCCCCCCCTAAAAATATTAAACTATTCTTTTAAAAAGAAAAGATTGGCTTGGCAGGATGCTGGTAAACCCAGACTTAGGCAGCCCTCTGTTTTCACAGTCTCAGCCCACATCCCCTATGTTGCTTTCAGAAAGGTTATAGTGTTGATTGAGGATAATAGTTTGGGGCATGGCTCTTCCTGTATCTCAGAACAACAAAAATTAGAATTAAAAATGATGTACAATCTAGTTGAGGCTCATTCTGCAGGTGATAGATCTCCTCCAGGAACGTAATTTTGTCTCACTCTGGAGGTGGTGTTTCAGCTCTGAGTTTGGACTGCCTTTTTTTTTTTTTTTTAATTAAATATATCTTTATTGATTTCAGAGAGAGGAAGGGAGAGGGAGAGAGAGAGAGATAGAAACATCAATGATGAGAGAGTCGTCATTAATCAGCTGCCTCCTGCGCACCCCCGACTGGGGATCAAGCCCGCAGCCTGGGCATGTGCCCCGACTGGGAATCAAACCGCCATCTCCTGGATCCTAGGTCGACGCTCAACCACTGAGCCACGCCCGGTGGGGCTGGACTGCCTCTTACTGAAGCTCCAGGTACTCTCTTGAGAACTTTTGACCTTGACAACTCTGTTCTCCCTCTGTAGAAAACCAGGCCTGCTTCCCAGCGAATATGGAATCCCCTTCTCCCCAGCAAACATGTAGCACCTTACTCGGCACCAGCCTTCTCTTCTTTCTAAATATTAAAAAAAAAGCTAATGATTTCTCTTTGGCTTTTCTTCCCGTCAGTCAGCAAAGGGCAGAGGCATCCAGGGCCCATTAGAACTGGTGCTGGGGAATGTGCATATAAACAGGCACGTAGTTGGCACAGTTGCTTTTCAGAGGCAGTACAGCGATCGCCATGAAACTGAAATGTGCAGACCCTTCGCTGGAAAGCTCCCGTCTAGGACTATGTCCTCCGCAGCTGTTCTCAGAAGTACGCAGAGATAGACAGAAGGCTGGCGTAGGAGCTCCGGACACACAAACAGCAGGCTGGGAGTGAGCGTGGAGATGGTGGAACGTTCATGGTAGAGCAGCAGTGTGCAGGCGTTACAGAAGATATGTGTTCTGACGTGGGAAAGGGGTCGCGAGCTGCATACATATATTTGAGCTCCTCCTCTGTTAAGTGAAGAAAGGTGTCCTGAAAGCAGCAGTGTGATGGCATTTCGCCAGCTTTTCCTACATTTTTGTCATCGATCACTTAGGTGGCTGACGTTCATCCTCTGGTTCTTCAGGAAGGGCTTGGGGAGCTGCATCCCCAGAGTGTTTGTGGAGTTGCTTGGTCAGCTGGGCCTGGGTTCTTGGTCACGCTTCCTTTTGCTAAGGCCGTTTTACCCACTGCTTGCTTTCACCTTTGGTGGTGTACCTCTTTACTAAATGTCCACTTCCACGTGCCTTTCTTTCTCTTTTCAACCAAGCAGGCATTCGTTCCACTTTTTGGCTCTACTCATTTCCACGTATCTCCCACGAGTAGCCCCTGCTTGGTTCTCCCTGTTCAAGTGTCTGAAGGTGATTCCAGGTGTCCCTGCAGAGGATCCTGGCTTCTTCCCTGGTGGTCCCATTATAGTGAGAACGCTCCTCCATGGTTCCTGTGCTTACAGACTGAGCACGTGGATTCTGTCTCCCTCCAGGTTACCAACATCAAGAAGACCCTCAAAGCCACCGCGTCCTCCTCAGCTCAGGAGATGGAACAGCAGTTGGCCGAACGGGAGTGTCCCCCTCACGCTGAGCAGAGGCAGCCCACCAAGAAGATGTCCAAAGTGAAAGGTCTGGTCTCCAGCCGCCACTAGGGCCGGCTGGGGCAGCTGGCACTCACCAGGCCTGGGTCAGGTGGGGAGGGGACACCGAGGGCCTATTTCCTCCTCTCTACCTTCAGTGAGTTCCAGACCTGCCCGTCCCCTCACCAGCGCCTCCCCACCCTGTTGGTACTGTTCCAGAAGAACCGTTCACTCCTTTCCCTTGCCCATGCCCTTCTCCCCAGTTGTTCCTTCAGACTCAGGGGCTCCACTGATGCCATCCCAACAGGGTCAGACACTGCCCGGCTCCCCTCCAGGAGGTTCTCGTCTCTGTTTAAGGGCTTGTCTCTCCCAGTTTTTCTTTTGCTCCATGTCATTTTGTCAGGCTGGTCATAGCCGGAGTCAGCTTTAACTGGCCCACAGGGATGACTGCGAAGGAGGCTCCTCTCTGAGTGAGGAGGGGGCACTCCTCCACCCCATGTACCACAGCACCCACAGTGGTGCAGGCACTCTAGCTAGGTATCACATGCTCTGTTTCCCCTCTCCTGCCTTGTCCCTCATTGGCAGCTCTGATCAGGCCATGGAGGGATGCGATGCTGGGCTGTGTTTACTAAACCTGCGGGTGTTCAGCCTCTTAAGCCCAGCTCAAATCTCTCGTTAGTCGGGAGCACTGGGCTGATTAACGTCTGGTATCTGAGCCCCGGTGGAGGGTGCTGTGGGTCTGCTCGGTGGCAGAAGCTGCTTCCAGCTTGGTGGTCACTGGTGCCTCTGCCTGCTCAGACGGTTTTTGGTGTGATGACCCCAGCTGCCCACTGGGGCTGTCTGCCAACACTTGCTCTCCCCAGATCTTTAATTACTCCTGGCTGCATCCGTGGTGGGGATGGTGGTGCTGAGGCCCCTCTGTCTGGGAAGGACCTGTTGCTGCTTCTGTCTTTCTTTCCATCCCTCCTTGGCTGATGACCCAGAGCCCTCTGATGATGGCATTCTCCTGGCAAGAGAAAAGGACTTGACTAGCCTTTCTGAACTTGAACAGTTTCAGGTTATATTTTAATTTTTTTTTTTTTTTGTACAGGTTCTGATTCTAATACATTTCAACATGTCTTTTCCCCCCCGTGTCAATATTTGTTATAGAATAATCGCCGGGGATTTTTCACCTGGTTGGAGGGTGGCGTGTGTGTATGTGTGTGTGTTTTGTTTTGTTTTTAAGGGGAAGTGGAGGTCTGGACTGATACTAAAGTTCACTGAGGGAAAAAGCACATTTCAGAACAAAAAATAAAGTGTAGATTTACTGTGTGTGACTGGCGTGCGGAGCTGCATAGCTGGTGGGGCTGCAGGGGCTGGGAGCAGGTGCTTCAGGGGAGTGTCCTGCTGTCTCAGTACCTGGAGGGAGAGTGCGTTTGCTCCTTTTACAGCACGTCCAGCAACTGCCTGCTGCTGATCAAATGTTAACAGTTATTCTCGTTCCCCTCAAGCTGGTCCATATGCCCACATAACATTATGTCCAGTGGGAGAGTTTAATTTCCAGAGTATGTTTCATGAAACCTCTTGGCAGATGCTCTGTGGAAAAGGGGTTCTGTTGTTAAATAAATTTGGCACATCCTGCATCCCATATCCTCATTGGAAATTCATTCTCGTGGTCTCAGAGAAGGCCTGGGTGAGCAAGCCTGTTCCCACACTGATGTCACCACCCAGTCCTTTTTGGTGATACCTAGTGGAACACATTTTGAGGAAATTTTTGGAAACATTCTATTTCTCAAAAATACCAGCTTTATAGGCTTTTCTGTAACTACAGTCATCTGTTGCTTAATGAGGGGGACATATTCAGAGAAATGCATTGTTGGGCGATTTTGTCACCGTGCAAACATCACGGAGTGCACTTACACAATGTCGGTGGTCTAGCCTACTGCACACCTAAGCTGTACGGTCTAGCCTATTGCTCTTAGTTTACAAGCCTGTACAGCATGCTACTATACTGAATACTGCGGACATTGAAAAGGTGCAGTAAAAATCGGGTATGAAAGTAAAAGTAAACAGTGGTGCACCTGTATAGGGCACTTACCATGAGTGGAGCTCACAGGCCTGGAAATTGTTCTGAGTGAGTGAGTGAGTGAGTGGTGAGTAAGAAGGCTACGACCTCACTGTCCACCGCTGCAGACTTGATAAACACTGCATTTGGCTACACTGAACGTCTATTTTTCTTTAGTAAGTTAACCTTAGCTTACTGTAACTTTATAAATTTTAAAAAAATTTTAAACTTTTTGGCTCTTTTATAATAACACTTAGCTTAAAACACATTGTAAACTGTGCTAAAATATTTTTTCTTTATATTCTACAGCATAAGCTTTTTTTTCTGTTTTTAATGTTTTATTTTTCTTTCACTTTTTAAACATTTTTGTTAAAAACTAAAATACAGCCCGGCTGGGCGTGGCTCAGCGGTTGAGCGTTGACCTAGGATCCAGGCGATCAGGGTTCGATTCCCAGTCAGTGCACATGCCTGGGTTTCGGGCTCAATCCCCACCAGGAGGCGTGCAGGAGGCAGCCGATCAATGACTCTCTCATCATTGATGTTTCAATCTCTTTCTCTGTCTCCTTTCCTCTTTCTGAAATCAATAAAGGCATATTTAAAAAAACAAAACAAAACAAAAAAACTAAGACACAAACACACATTAGCCTAGATCCCTAGGTCAGGATCATCAATATCACTGTCTTCCACCCCCACATCTTTTCGCACTGGAATGTCTCCAGGGGCACTAATGGGCGTGGCGCTATCATCTCTATGACAACAGTGCCTTCTGGAACGGATCCTGAAGGACCTACCTCAGGCTCTTCTTGAGGTGTTTCTCTTCAGAAAGCACTAAGATGCTATGATGGCTCCATAGGCACCAGGCAATAGGAATTGTTCAGCTCCATTATAATCTCAGGAGATCACTGCCCTATAAGCCGTCCATTGTTGACCAAGATGTGTAGTTCCTGACTCTTCTTTCTAGACCAGAACAGGCATGTCTGCTCCCAGCAAGTCTTTCATCCTTGCCTTTCCCACTAGTGAGCAGGTAGGATGTGTGTGGCTCAACTAGTATGAAATGCATGATTGTTTGTTGGTTGTCCCACAGCCCTAAGGAGCTGTAGGTTCATCTCCACAGTTCTGCTGCTTCCCTAAAAATAGTAATGAAAATGAGAACACACTTGTAAGGAGCTCTACAATGTCTTCATGGACAACAAGTCATTGAATCCCTTCCACTGAGACCATCTCCTGAGGCTGGTAAGGGTATTACTGCTCTCATCTGCTCCTACATATGGGAAAGTGGAAACAGTTAAAGTGTCCCATGGTAAGTGGCAAAATGAAAACTCCTGGATCTAATGTGTATGTCCTGCCACCTGCTCTGTGCTACATTCTGATTTAGAGTCTGCTCCCTAAATTCACCCAGCCACTTTATAAGGAAGCCGAGAGTACGGGGGTTGGGCTGCAGGAGTTGTGGGAACAGCTGGAATGTTCTTTGCTCAGTTGGAGCTCTGGTAGGAGGCTGGGACTCTGGGCTCTGCAGTTTCCCATCTGGCGAGCTGTGACAGCGGGGTTTAGGTCTGAAATGTGCACAGGTGTTTTACATGTAAACACAGCGTTCAGAAGAGGTGTCCTCATCAACAGGGATTATATTAAATAATATTTGGTAGAAGTGCCTGTGGACTGGCTCTAGCCACCTTGAGCCCTAAGCGCTCTGCTTCCTGAGGTCCTCTTTGGTCTTTACTGTTTGTCCAGATAAGAGGCATTATGGTTCCTACTTGGGTAACATTAGGGAGGTGGTCAAAGCCCTCAGTACAGCCCATTCTTGTGTTTCAAATCTGAGATGACCACCATTGATAGTAGGATCCTCCCTTGAAACTTTCGAGTCAGGAAATAGGGTGGAACCGTGGGAGTGACTCATATAACCTATGGAAAATGTATAGAAGGTCACAGTGGAACCATAGCAAACACCTCCAACTGTACCCTGAAGCAAGATGCCCTGAAGAAATTGTAGAGTAGGAAGAGAAACACAATCTCACGCCCCTTACCAGGGCCCGACCCGCAACTGGGGCGCGCACCCTGGCGGGGTGTAACTGGCAAGCCCTTGGGGCGCGGGGTCACGCCCAGCCGGCTGCGCCACCCGCAGGGCCAGAGGTCACCATGCTCTCCAAACAGTTGACCACCCCTCTCTCAGGGCAGGACTGTATTTTCCTGCTTCATGGTGAAAACAGAACACGAGGGGAAACCCTCAGTGTCTTCACTCCGCCTGTGGAGTCGCCCACGTCCATCCTCAGTTCCCTTGTTCTGTGTGACAGGCATCCCTCCTCCCTCCCCCCTCCCCCGCGAGGGATTCGGCCCCCGGGGGCGTGGGTCCGCCTCCCATTTCTCCCAAGGCTTTTCACTTGTGCATCTTTTGCCTCTAATGGCTGCATGTGAGGAGTTTCACACTGAGGAGACCTTGCCTGAAGCTGATGTCGCTTTCCAGCCACTTTCTTCAACAAACAAGCTTGAGAACTGCCACCCTTTCTGTCTCTCCTTCCTCCCTCATTCACACCTAAATTCTTTGCCTCATGGCTTCTACTGCCAACCGTTAGCCCATGATTTTCTTGTCTAGGAGACCATCGATCCGACCGCTGCAGTCCTTACCGTGGTGTCACCATCAGCACTGTTGAGCATACTTCTTCGAGGGTTGGTCCTTCTCTTAGTTTCATGGCTCCAATCTCCAGGTTTTCTGTGTGTTTTTCTGCCTATAGTAAAATTTGTTCGGGGCCATCTCTTCAGAGTCTAGGTGAAGGTGTCTGCTAGGGTTCCATTGCGACTTAATTTTACTTCTGTACTTTCTCCGTAGGTTAAATGATTCACTCCCACGGTTCCACTTCCGTTTGTAACACCCAAATCTCTGCTGCATTCTGCCCATACGTATAGGCGGCAGCCACCTGGGCATCTCATATAGTCGCCCGGTCGGTGGTGCCCACCGCTCATTGACCAAGAGTACTGCTTTGCAGGCCGCCGCAACAAAATACCACAGCGTAGGGGCTTAAACAACAGACACCTACTTCCTCACAGTTCTGGAGGCCAGAAGTCTAAGATCGAGGTGTTGGCAGATTTGGCGTCTTCTAAGGCCTCTCTCCTAGGCTTGCGGATGGCCACCCTCTCGCTGTGACCTCCCATGGCCTTTCCTCTGCGGGTGTGCATCCTTGGTGTCTCGTGAGGACACCAGTCACGTTGGATTAGGGCTCACACCCTTATGATTTCATTAAACCCTACCGACCTCTTGAAAGGCCTATTCCCAAGTGTGGAGGGGAGGTGGGGGCAAGGGTGGCAGCAACCAAGACAGCGTCTTGGGGGTTAGCTTCAAAGGAGCCACCAGCGTGGTTCTCAATTTTGAAATGCCCGCCTGGTTAGAATGTAGCTGTATAAAGTTTGGTTCTTCTGGTTATAAATTTGTCATTTAGTTGTCTGATAGCTCCTTTAGGAAAAAAGAAGTGGAATGTTTGAGATTCAGAGCGGTTGGACTTTTTAAGGCCGCTGGTAAGTGGAGCCAAAGGACACCCCCAGAAGGCCTTGCCAACTTACACTGCCCCAGCTGTGCATGCCAGAGCTTCACAGCGGGGTGCTGGGGGCCAGAGCCCGCGTGCGTTACAGAGGGTGGCCTGCTGAGGTGGTCGCCTTCGGTGTGTGCCCTGTTGACAAGCCCTCGTCCGAGCCCTGGACAGCCCTAGACACGGTCACTTTTTTCCGTTAGCGCCGATCTGATTGAGGGAGTAGTACCACCATGACACTATATTGTTCATTTTTTTAATTACCAATGTTTTTCATACGCCGAGGATCCCACTGCATTTTTTCTTTAGTGACTTTCCTGTCCTTTAACTCATTTTGCCACTGGAGCTGTTGCTTTTTTATATGGATTTCTAAGTCCTGCCTGGAAGCTACCAGCAGAGGGCAGCAGTGCACCAGGGTGCCGAGCGTCGGGGGCTGGAATCTGAACCTTAAGGGTTTTCTTTGCACAAAGCTGAGCCTGAGCCCTGAGACGCCGACATCATTGGACTTGGGAACTTGGGACGAACACAGACGAGGTGTTCATTTCCTCTCCAAATCAAGTTGTTTGT